ATTCGGTTTGTGTATTTTTGGTAACCCATACAACTTCGGTGGTTTGGCACATGAAGGTATTATCGAATTAACGTCCAGATTCAATTTCTCGGAGTATTTCTTAATTAGATCGCTAGTTGTTTTAAGCGAATTAGTTGTAGGGTCTGTTTTGACCTTTCGATAAGTAGTTTCATCCGACAAAAGATGTTGTATTTTAAAATTGTAATCTGACGTATCCATTATTACCGTAGAATTACCTTTATCTGCGCGGAGAATCGTAAGGTCTGGTCTGTTGTGTAAGTTTTTCAACGCGTTAAATTCATTTTTGGGAAGATTTAATTTCGGCGCTGAACTTCGACGTAACATAGACGAGATGTCTTGACGTATGGCCTCTAAATCTTCATTACCAATATTATTTTTATACAGACAGTCCTCAAAACTACAGATAATGTCCTCATACGGTATTTTTCGCGGTGTTATGGCGAAATTAATACCTTTTTCTAAAACTTTTATTGTGGCGTCGTCCAGTGTTTGTTTTGATAAGTTGTAGACAGCGCGTTGTTTATGATTCGTGTCTGTGGTCAACGATTTCGTATGTTGGACATTTGATTTAGTTGTTAATTTATGGTATTTATCAATGTGTTTATTTTTGCATTCATTGTATTTAGTTGTTTCGCGTTTATCTAAAGTTTCCATGCAATTTTTATAATCAAATGCCGATAAAACTGTCTTTAATTCACTGGACGAATTGTGTGGTTTTGCTGAATCACCGTTATTAACAACTTTTTACTAGCCTGATTTAAGATCTTAGCGCTTCCTCGAATATCTTTTTTAGTGGATATCTTGACACACGTAGGAATGAGATTATGATCTCTGCATCTCTTCAAGAAATTTAAAGCTGTTATGTATCTTGCGCGCTTGGTCTTTAGATCTTCTAATCGGCGTATTTTATTTGCTATTTCCAGTCCGTACTGGTTTACATAATGATTTCTTATATTTACGCGAACACTACACATGATTAAAACTACTTTTACGGATTTTATCGCGTTTATTATTGCTTTTAATTACTTTTATTTTTAATACCCATGGTGGACCATGGGTGCTGGAAAGCGCCCGAAACGTCAGGAATTAAAAATAAAAGTAATTAAAAGCAAAAATAAACGCGATAAAATCCGTAAAAGTAGTTTTAATCAAAACTGAAGTGATTAAGAAGCTTACAGTCTACTTGATGGTAAGTAGCTCCTGCAGCCCATTGCAAACCAGATTCAAACAAAGAATAGATGTTTTGTCACATCTGAGATCTACGTTGGAACATGTCACAGTCTGTAATGATACTGAATCTTTATAACCTTCATGACTACCTCGTTGATGTGGTGGTGTAGTAGTGCGACTGATGATCATGAGGTCCCGGGTTTAATTCCGGGTCGGGCCAAAAAGTCAGTTAATATTGATTTTTTCCGTCTAGAAATCTCACCCTCTTACGTGCCTCGGAAAACACGTAAAGCCGTTGGTCCTGCGCCTGATCTCTCTACGGTAGTGTCGGTTTACTGTCCCATCGGACTATGAGAATGACGGAATAGAGAGTGCAACTGTGCTTGCGTATTCACTTGGGCACTATAACCCTGTCCTTAACAGACTGCTAGTCTTCTTTGAAGCTGGCCGCTTTGACCGAAATTCGATCTGGAGGACATTATTACTCGAATTATACCCTTATACCGGAACGCAGCATTGCAAACACAGCTATTTCGGAGCAGAAATAGGTAAGAGGGCGACTAGTTTAAATCGAATGATTAAACAAGTTGATTAGTTAAAATCAGTTATTATATAATAAATTTATAAAGCATTTTTTTTTTCGAACGGGCAAAAAGCAAGGTACTGATATTGTTTTTAATAAACTGCAAAGCGCAACACTTAATCGTGAAAATGTTGTAAGGATTCTAATCAATGGCTTTAAAAGTGTCGAGGTCCAATATTTGTAGGCACGATGTTCGTCACGCGCCTCCATGTTGAGGATAACAGGGAGTGGAGGGGGGAGGTATTTAATTGCAAAACGTCGTCACTGGACAAAGCAGTGAGATACGCCTCGCGGCCCGTTTAGTCTCCACCGGGATTAATTCATCTCAAGCTTTCCTGCCTACATAGTACATACCTATAAACATTATTTTAGTTCAACTTTTGTTTCAATATTGTCTTTTATTACTCTTAAAACATACTTTGTTTAAAGGTGAACCATTTAAAGAAAGATAGTAGAACGTACTAATTTTCTAAAAAAAAATTGTAGATTTTTAAAATGTTTAAAAAGAAACATGATATGCATCTCTTTATACGTGAAGTATGGCAGTAAGCGCAGCCTATAACACTATTACAATCGATGTATATCGTATAATTCATTTAAAAAAGTGCTGAAATGTGTAGAGTTACTGTCAGGTAGCAAACTATTTAAAACAAAGAGAGATCCAACACACTAGTAGCACCGTCTTGCATTTTAGACGTTGTTAACGTCCTAATGCAAGGAATCTGGTAGTACGACCATGTATTTGTTCTCCCGATCACTTCACCTTTTTTGAATTATTAGAGGAATTTATACATACTGATGAGAATGATGTTTAATATTCAGTGTATAACACAAACGGGCGTTGTCTATCTACGAAAATTGATTTCGTAGATTGACAACGCCCGATTGAATTTTTGATTCAAGCACACTTTTAAAGTCCGCAGCAGCGTGGCGTTAGGGTGTTACCACACCAATCAATCGATCGTCAATCGAAGTAGATCGATGTCGATCAATTGGTGTGGTTGCTTTAGCTGATCGACGGATACTGATAGGTAAAACGTTCTTCAATCATCGAACGCCGTCGATCGACAATTATTCGATATGGTTATGGGCTCAACATCAGCATCTTTTAAAATTTATTCAGATGTTGAAGTGCTATTGTTGACCAGTATTCTCTTGCTTGTATTATTATAATACAGAGACGCAAATGCAGAGAGCGCTGGATGCGACCGTTTTTTAAGGCCAGAGATAGCTTATTTCATTTAGACGACTTTTTATATAGCGGTCGATGAAGCGGGGCGGGTTCTCGAATAATCAAGCAACTCTACAATCAACGTCGCACAATCGATTCTACCATCGATCGATCGGTGTGGTAGAACTAATCCATACCACCATCAATCGACGATCGATCGATTGGTGTGGTAACATCCTTATCTTTACTACTTCATAGTCTTCACAGAAATAAAAAGAGGCATATCGTTGGTAGTGAGAAAGCTAGTGTATATGTTACTTTATTATAAATTACATTCTACGTCATAATTTCTTCGTGTGGAGTTTGAAATTCACCAAGACTTAATCCTTATATTGCAGTGTTATTTAACATCTTTGGAAAATTTTGTGCCCGTCGGGTTCAAACCCTGAAATTGTTGATTTGATTGAAATTTTAAGGGTTGATTTAACACGTGCTCGAGGATGAAGGAAAACATCGTGAAGAAACCGGCATGTCTGAGAAATTAATTTAATATTTCCGATATGTGAAGTCCGCAAACACACATTTTTTTAATAGGATAGGGAGCACACAGTCCACCTGATGGTAAGTGGTTGCTACGGCCCATAGACTTTAGAGATTACAAATCAAAATGCAGATGCGTTGTCACCCGTGAGGACTGCCTCGTTTCCAGTAAAGAGGGTCTCTGGTTCTCTACACTCACTATACGAAATACAGCAGCATTAAGCTACTATTTTACGCTGGTATTCTGTGAAAGTGTGGTCCTTCCCTGGTCAAGCAGACCCATTCGTGTTACAACTATACTACTAATATAACTGCAGCATGGCTCTACCACGTATAAAACATGGGGTCAGCGCCGTGGACAATACCCTAAAACCTCTCATAAATGAGAGTAAAACTGTACTCAGCAGTGGGAAGAATATAAGCTGTAACTTTACGTTTCATTTTACGAAATTCAAGCTAATTTATTGTATTGAGGATCTATGTCAAATACTACGTTTAGTTATTTGGCCACTTTCTAAACAATTTTTTTTATTTACAATATTTAATTAGAAGAGTATCAAATATGTGAGGAGTTTCAGATAAGTCCATTTATTTGTAAAATATCTGGTATATATCATATAATTTTCATGTGAAATGAGATTTAGTTTCAGTAATTTAAAAAAAAAGGCAGTAAGTGATTAAACAACTGCTTTGAGAAAATTTCAATTTAGCAAGTCGCAATAAAAATTTCCGGCGTCTGTTATATGCGATACAGATCCGATACGATGTTCTGCTGCGGTCGCTAGATAGCTAATTAATCACCGCCTCAGCAAGTAGACTGATTTCCTGCGGGAGCGGAAAATGCCGTATAGCGATAAAAGTGAGAAGGGTCGGGCGCCGGTACCAGATGTTACCACCGCAAGGTGCTTTGCTGCCTTGTTATATCCGTACACCTCGTATATCCAACTATTTCCTTATAACGCTATAGATACTTGCAGAAAATTTATCTACGTGACGTATGAACTGTTTGAGCTTTATTTACGTTTCAAGTAAAATATTTTTGCAATATTGCAAAATACCGTTACATTACATAACGTTTTATATATTAAGAAACGAAAAAAAATACCAGGAAGTAATTAAAGGCGTGGTTTGAGGAAAAATCATAACAATGTATAACTTTTTTAAGTTATACAATTATGAAATTTTAATAATATTAGAGTGGAAAAACTTAAACAACGAGCATTGATCACGAGCTGTGATGATCCTGGTGAGAATACTAAATCAATCTTTATCTAATCATATCATCATCGAATAACAAGTCTTCGTCTCTTAACATGTCTGCAAATTTCAGATTAGATAACGTCTGAAAGTGGATAAAAACTGTATTACAAAATTCCGTAACATAGAGACATAGAGTTTTTATAACATATCAAAATCATGAGAACTCTTAGATTTTGCTGAAAATCAGTGCAATAGAAACACAGGCACGCAACAACAGTGGCTGTCTCCGAATGTGCAGTATTCAAAGTAATACCCATGGCCAGGTCATCAAGTGTTGCACTTCTCGACTGTATACCAAAGGTTCTTGATTTTTAGAGTAGACTATCAATTAGTAAAAGTGTTCACACTTTTAGAACAAAATTGACTTGTTATTTTTGCTTTGCTACTGGTAACAAGATTAAATAGACAAATATAAGCCATTCGGATAACCACTACATCATTACCAAATTTTATTTAACTCTTTGTAACTAAAGGTATAAATGGGGGACTTAATGCCATATGGCATTTTCTATCACTCAACCGGAAATATAGTGGAATAAAAACCAGATTAGCAGTCTAGGATCACTTTTAATTCCCGGCTCATACGTAACCGTAATATTTAATTAAAATAAATATTTTGTTAACGTCACACATATCAATGTTTACAGGAGACGTACCGACGATGGGCGTGCAGCACGATGGTGCCGCTTTGGGTGGAGGAGGGGATGGAAGAGGGAGCGGAAGAGGGCGGGAGGTCGCGTCGGACGCCGGCGGAGCACGCGGCGCGCTGGCACGCCAGGCACCTGGAGCGCGTGGGGCACCTGGACCGGCGGCGCGGCGGCGGAGTGGTGGGTCGCTGGGTGCGCGCCGCGGCCGCCGGACCAGGTCGGCCCCTCGTCCGCCTCAAGCCCTGCCTGTCCGTGTGCCAGCTTGTCGAGCAACACTGCCCTTACTTCCTGCCGGCGGACCGCGCGCCCGCCTACCCCACGCAGTACGCTGGCGAGCCCACGTTTCTATGCCTCGGTCAGTATTTTCAATCGAGTAAAACTATTTTATAATTCAATCCATGCATTAAAGTTCATTGCTGAACATAGGCCTCCCCCATTGAGTGCCTCATAGATAAATGAGGCAAACAATGGTTAGGATAAAGAGGGATGTACAAAAACGATGTAAATACATAATTAAAAACACATATATATATATACGTATACACTACTCGTTTCTGTATTTTGATTTACAATAAAGAATAAATAAATAAATAAAACTGTCAAAAGAGTGATTCATCAACAACAAGCTTGGGAGGTGTGCTGGTGGACTTTATATTGCACTGATAATGCCGCTTCAATGCCATAAGTCTGCAATCTTCGCTTTCAGCATTTTCGGTTGAATATTGTGCCAATAGTCGGTCATTAGTGTCTGTCAGTCAGTTTTGTGCACGGTACGCAGATGAAGATAATTGGAGATAATTTGGAGAAAAATGAGTACATTTATTTGTTCTTTTAAAGGGTATAGAGATGAGTATTTTCGTCTTCAAACTGCTTTTACATATATACTTATATATAGAATTTTGTTAAACTTGGTTAACGGTTGTGTAAGAAAATCCAGAATTTGCCACGTTACGTAGCCTACACGAATTTTTTCACACAGTCCACCTGATGGTAAGTGGACGCTGTGGCCCATATCTTCATTTATCCTCGATTAAGAATCAAAATGCAGATACCTTTAACACCTGAGGACTACGATGGTGTGTGCCTCGTTTCCAGTTAAAAGGATCTCCAGTTCTCTACATTCACCATACGAAACATTCTATAACTAACATTCTTTAAATATATATCACATATATAAGAACAGCATTATATATATGTGATATGTATTTAAAGAATTTCTTTATAAAAGATAATGAATAATTTCAGTCTGTAGAGCACTAGATATTGTCACTATAGGAAGGTCCGTAGGGGCCTGTGTCGGTAAGTCCGTTTATCTGACAATATGCCGACGAGAATCAGAATTATACAGAAGCGTGCCGAGAGAGAGGTATACGCAGCACCAACAGATGCCTCCGGAACCAAAATTCGCAACTCGACAAAGTAATTTCTCAGCAAGTTTCTTCTAGTACAAAATATTTACAATACGCCATATCACAACCTGAGTAATAATAATATAGCTATCTCGCATACGTTGTAAAAATTTTGATCGGCGATGAGAACGAGTGGTAGAGTAGCGAGACTTCTAGCATTTTGATTCTCAATTCTCTTAGCAATTAAGGGGAGGCTAAGATCTAGCGGTGCACTGATTGAAAGTAAATGATGATGACAATACGATTCGGCTATACTTAATGCAAAACTTTACATCTTTACGAAAAATGTTTCGTCGAATGCATTTCGCAGTCCTCAACTTTGTCATCATCACCATCGTCATCAAAGCAGCCTATTACGATACCCAGGGGAAGGCTTGGAGGTAGTGGATACTCGTACGCCGCCATTACACAGTATTTATTTTTACAAATATTATTTATTTTTTTGTACTCAAGTGGTGCTTTATACTCTTCTAGCAATTCAATTCCATTCATGAATTTGAGCTTTTAGTTGAAATTGATTTATAATGGTTTTAAAAATTTCAAAAATGCTTCAAATGCATTCTATCACTTCTTTTATATATTTACAGATTTTAAAAATTTCGAAAACGCTTCAAATGCATTAAATCACTTCTTTTATATATTTACAGATTTTTAAAATAAAGTGTGACAAAGGAACATACAATCCGCCTGACGGTAAGCGGCCGGTGGCTGCAGGCCATGACCATTTGCAGCCAACTTCAAACAAAGAAAGCTAAAGATGCGTTGTCACTTGTAAGGACTAAGATGGAATGGCTTTTGGCCTGTAATTAAACTGGCTCTTAATACGCTTCGGAGGAGCTACTATTTGACATCAATACTTGCACAACTATGTTCCGGTAGGCCTCTCTCGTTTTTTAATGATCGGATCTGACTTATCTTCATCGCCACGTTTGACACGCGGCGTTTCGCATCTGTGATCTGGATATTTTACGTCTAGCGTTAACGAGATGGTTACACTACTATCTGTCGGAAGTTAAAAAAATCTGGGATTGTCCATAATCGTGTGCTAAGACACCCATGTGGATTTTCCCATGCCACTGCCACACGGCAATGTAGATATTTAATTTTATGAATCAAAAATATATTAAACGAGCGCTGAATGCGCCCAAGCCGAAAAACGCAAGCTTTTGATTTACCTGGGTTGACGCTCAAAACTACAAAGCTCCGGATATTAGCTTCTTAATTATTTAGGTCGTTAGTTAGTAGCTTCTTAGTTACTTAGTTCCAAAGAGAGAACTTACAACCAGGCCGCCAAATCCTACAAAAAGCATTATGGAAAGTTATTATATATTATATATTTTTTTAGATATTAGCGCTAAACTCTCTGCCAGATCATCCGGAACTAGCTTCAGCTTCTTTTTGGTCTATCACCAAAGCGTTCGAGACAGACTTCTCTCGGCCTATGGCACATATGGCTAAAGAGAAAGCGGACTTGTTGACGTCTCTCTTTGCCTACAATTCACGTCTGGACAGTGGCAACAACGTTCCACCTAAATTACCTCACTGCGGGACCTCTATATCGGAGTTGCGTATAAAAAAAGGAAGTTCTTAAAACCTTGTGGTGTCTAGACGTGAATAAAGCTAGTGGACTAGATAGTATACTAGCTATAGTCTTAAAGTCTTGTGCATCTGAGTTGTCTCCTGTTCTGACATGCTTGTTACGCCTCTCATTTAGGACTGGAATAGTGCCAAATTCCTGGAAGTTGACCAACGTGCTGTCTGCTCCAAATAAAGGCAGCGTGCTGACCCTGCCAATTATCGGCTAATCTCAATTACCTTCATACTCTGTAAGATTATGGAGCGTATGTTGAACGCCTGCTTAATGGCATACCTAAAACAAAATGACCTCCTTAGCGACCAGCAATACGGGTTTCACCGAAATAGGTCAGTTGAGGTCCTTCTAGCGTATGTCATACACGTATGAGTCGAGGCACTCGAGAACAGTGGAGAAGCACTCGCTGTTTCCCTTGATGTCTCGAAGGCCTTTAGAGAAGGCCGATAGAGTTTGGCACGCTAGCCGTTTGGGTCACGCTAGCCTACGATTTGTCCCCGGGTCTGATTGACTGGGTAAAGGACTTTCTAAGTGAACGGTCTCTCCGGCTCGTCGTCGATGGTTGCTCATCCGATCCTATAGCGACTAACGCCGTCGTTACTCAGGGTACAGTTCTCACCGCAACTCTCTTCCTGCTCCATATTTATGGTCCGTTTATGCCCGGTATCTATGGGTATACAGACAATGGCACAGTTATGGAGCGATACCAACCAAGTCCACGGCCCCGTCGGTATCAAATCCAGTCCAAAAGAGAAGCTATGGTAGAGCGTGTAAATCTCACAACACAGACAGTCTTCAAATGGGGCGATTGCAATTATGTAAAATTCAACGCCTCCAAAACACATACGTGTGTGTTTTGTTTATGGAGGCGTTGAGTTTTATAGTGTAGAGCTAGTTCATCTTGGGCCCTTTTAAACGTATTACTGGAATACACCAACCGCCTTCAGTTGTTGGGGGTTGAAATATCTTCAAATCTCAAATTCGGGCGGTGCATTGGGTTCTAGATCAAAGTAGCTGCAAGGAATTTTCATTGTTGACTTACCACGCATTCGAACCAAACGGATTCCTACGTCGTGCATCATGCGTACAGCAAAGGAGTGCAATAAGTTGCCAGGATCTGTGTTTTCATCCGATTACAAAGTGCGCTTTACCATCTTAGGCTACATCACCACTTACCATCAGGTGTAGTGCAGCACCGGCTTAGAATAATATAGAAAAAAAAGTACATTCATTATGTATTTGAAGAATTTTTGAGCTTTGGACTAATAAGAACAATAAATGATAATAATTTATTCATAGAGAAAATTGGAATTATCTTTACGGATTTATTTTTTCATTAATTAATTAATTACGATTTAACGCTCTAAAGTCAAAAATATTTTAAGCGATATGTTAATGTTAATTAATTTTAAACAATGTTTGGAAGACATTAGACGTTTTCATTTAAATGATAAAGCGTTAAAGACGTGCGGTCTGAAACATAAAACATGCTAGATATTTTTGTACGAAACAAAAGGTAGCGATTGCAGTGAAGTACACGTGTTCAGACAGCGGGAGAGGTTTCGAATTAGGCACGATTAGCTGCCACCATCACTTGGCCGGGGTTCAAAACAAGAACTCGAAACAAATAGCGCCTTCTGCTGAGATTGTAGACGTTTTTATTTTTCTTTTCACACATCACTGTAGCCAATTGTTGCTCTTGTTTTCTTTATGACTCTTGTTTTTGTTTTTGTTAACCGATCATAGAACTATTGTAGAGCGGCTCCAGATTGTTTTTATTTAACAATGATTAAAACGTTATATTAAAGATACTTGTTCGAAATGGTTAGAAACTTTTTCTTTTCTATCAATAGATTGTAAAGTATCCGTGGTTTCATGTAAGGCATGATTAGTATAATTGCTAAACATTGCTGACAGTCGTTGGAGGTGGTTCAGAATCAACCATTTATGGTGTGGTATGTGGTTTATGGTAGTTACTCAATCGAATTATGTGAACTTATTTCTTTTGCAATCAATTATTGTCAGTGACAATAATTGTTTGCAAGCGATTGTCGTCTTGATTGACGTCTTCCGAGACTTTATTCTGATATTTAAACTTAGTTCTTCTTATTACAAACCTTAGTTTATTGTTAGCTTCGGATTTTAACTACGGATTATGAAATTTTAAAAAGGGTTACTGACAGTTTAAGTCCAAGGCTATCGAGGAGCTTTCTAATAAAACGGTGTATCCGAAGTACTGAACCTTTATTTAGATGAAAAAAATATTTTAAAACGCAAACAGTACAACATATTTATCTATAGGCGTTATGAATCTGTAAAAGCAAAATCATACTGTCCAGTATTTTTAATATTTTCGCGTTCACTACCTGAATGTTTTTATTGAATAAAAATTATAATTATAAACTATATATTGAACGGTGGCACATGTGAGCGTAAAATCTCTGAAGATCAACCTCCCGTTTATACATATAGGATCGGAAACACCTTTATCTTCATTTCTTGCTGTGAAAAATCTGTGTTAATCTAGTCTAGCTGTGACCCTTCCAAGGTTTTTCGTTATGTTCACTGGGAAACATTTATCAGAAAGCTACTTCATTATGATGTAAGACATAGCGTGTAAACTTATTATATCATATTTAAATATAAGAACGCAAACAGTTGTTATCAATGAAAGTAGTTCTTCCGAGTCGGTAGTATTTATGGGTGTTGCTCAGGGCTCAATTTTTGGCCCCTTCGTGTTCTTAGTTTATATTCATGACTTACCTTATCTGTTAGGAAACTATGATATAGTTTTATTTGCTGATGATACTTCGTCGATTCAAAGGGAAATTGTTAAAATATGACGAAGTGAATAACGCTACATGGAAATTAGTATGCAAGTTCATCGTCAACAATTTTCTTTTGAATTGTAATAAAAAATGTATTAAATTTACAATACCAAATGTTGAATAACTTAGTAGCACCAGTGTGCTTTTAAATGGAGCAGCTCATGTTGAATGCATGTTAAATCCACTGTATTTCTTGAAATTAGAGTAAATTCAAAGCATCAATGTTCTGCAGCATATGCTGTAAAAAAAAGAATCTTAGATTTTTTGAAACAGGTAGATTGATTCGTTTTAGTTATTTCCATAGTAATATTTCATGGAACATTGTTATATTACGTTGGTCGCATTTCCCATGCGACCAACATTGAAACTTTCTTTGTATTTCAGGAGAGAGCCATAACAGCAACCTATAACCTTAGCTTAAAATTTAAAGAAATATATCACTAAGGACTCCCTCAGTATATATATATATTTAAATTTAATGTATGTACAGTGTACAAAAAAAGTTTTCTTAAGAAAAGTGATTAAACATTTTGTATATTCTAGAAACAAGCACAAGCTAGTAATACCATTGCTACCATTACCATTTCGTCATAGAACAGAAAATGTGCGGAACCTATCTATCAAAAAATTTATATTATGCAAATCAATGTTTAAAAAATTCCGCTGGGCTTCTTCTCGGGACAGAGGTTTTTTCCAAACCAGCGGTAAAACATAAATAACCTTCAATAAGTATTATTGTAATTTGAATAAAATTAACTAAGCTAACAGTCCGATAAATCCAATATATATATATTTATGTAATATCATGAAATCATGCTACATATCATTGTAGTTAAACCATTTGCAACCTGAAGCTTAATTTGTAAATATTAATATTGCTGTCGAATGTTCCAGACGCGCGCATACCGGAAACCGGTGCGCAGGCGAACAAATCTAACTACGGGTCAGACGAGTGCTGCTACTGGTACTGTGAAGGTCGGCTGTGCTATCGCTGCGAGTCACGGCTGACCGAACCTTCGCGCCCGCCAGCCGAGCAATGTCCACAGGTGGAAGACCGGGCGCCCAGTTGCTCGGTACCTTACCAAGTCGGCGCGGCCACCACTACAATACCATGTGCCGCGTTACTGGTAGCCACTCTTCTCGTGCCGCTTATAACAATCCTCGTGCCGTCACGGACCCGTTGGACGGCGCTCACACTAGTGAATGTGCGCGACTCGAGGTTATAGTTTTACGTTATCGTGCGTCGCACCCCCAAGTCTCGCGGTCGCCGGACCACGATCCGAACTTCTATTAGTGCATTACTTATGATAATAAATAGCGAGAGGTATTGTTCGATGAGACCCGCGCCTCGCAGCAATCCCGTGAGCGCGCCGGTGCTACCTTAGACTGTAAGTTTATGTATGTACATGATTGTTCAATGCCCCCAAACAGAGAAACACCAATTGTTCTGAAATGATTCGTCATGAGTTTCGGCTCGTGAGCGCTACAAATCGAAGTTCCGCTCTAGTATATACATATAAAATAATTTAGCACAAGTAATTATCGAATGAACACAATATTTGCGTTAAGTGGAGATAATTGTATATTTAAAATAGTATTTTACAGTTGAAGCGTACACCGTTTGTGTGTGCTGTATTACCTGGTTTTTGTTATTTTTGCTAAGCATAGTATACATAGAAGCAATATTTTGAACCGCATGGAACACGTGTCGTTGAGGGTGTACAGCAGCAACAAAACATGCCCTTTTATAGTAGTTTGTACGTTGATATTTTTTTACGTGTGATACAGTTGTTAGCATCTTACGTAACAGTGTTGAAGATACGCGTAACTTGACAGACATGAACAGTTTGGGTTATAAAACACATTATTAATATGTGACGAAGAAAAAGATTTCTGCATTGGTTTTACATATAGAGGTTGAGTAACACTTATATTACTTTTGGAGAACAGTAGTTTACAGAAGTTTACACAGAAGTCTCTTTTTTCAACACAATTTGAATATAAAAAAAACTGATTGATTAACTGATTGAACTATTGATTTTTAGAGAATTATTTTTGTAATGTTACATTATTGGGCATGCGGAGACCTTGTGACTAGAACGTAAAGTCAGCACAGAATGATAATGTCAATATGGAGCAAAACTGATTGGATATCTTGTGTTGTAAATTTATTCCGGATAATCTGAAAAGAGTCGTCTTGTCACAATGTCTAACCGCCTGCGAATGCCTAAATTATTGGTCTATGTTATATCCATAATATTGACTACATTTATACTAGGATTACTTAAAAGTAGTTGTTGTTTTATAAGAATAAAAGTATGACTTATGCATATAACGAAAATTATGTGCGTTAATATATCCGTCTAATGAATTGTCATTCAGATTGTCTAATGCAAATGTAAGGTGTACCACGTTATATTTGTGTTAGTACGATAATTTTTATATGAATTGATTTTCAATATTTATTATTGTATATGTATATTATATTGAGAATATAATGACTACGCAACCTTCAAATTGAGTGCAGTCGTTCTCATATGGTAGGTACAACGGTCTTTGTTAATTTATTTTATTTTGGAAATGTATTAAAATATATTGGTGAAGTTAATGATTGCGTGATCTAAAACAAATTATAAATGAATGGTTATTAGGACTTTATTGAATGGACATTTGTTGAAAATTTGTCCCCGGCGGGATGTAGTTGTTGTAATCAAATAAAGATAATAAATAAGTAAGTTATTTTTTACGTTTTTATTGTGTAAATATATCAAAATGCGGTTTCCTGTTTCCACCCCCGTACCTAAATTCGAGTCACCGAAGGTGCTAAATGTCTATTAACTCTTCGTAAGTGTTTATTTGTTCCACTCCTTTCAATTATAACCTAATCTGTTTTTCGGTCTGTATGATGACGGACATGACAGAATACTTCGCAATTTGACAACTTAATTTTACTACCGATACCAAAAGATTTGTTTGCAAAATTTGGCCATCGTATTAATCTGTTTTCTTTTAATTAAAAACAACAAATATTACAGCACAGTCAACTATTTCAGTATTTTCTGTTACATACAAGCTTGGTATTTTACTCGTGGTAAAGAATAGCGTGGGGCAAAACGGTGGGTCGTATTGTTTCAATTGATAAAAAATTCACTCTAAAAGTGATGCCTAATGCCTTCACCTACCACGAAGTGAAAGCGTCGCATACTAGGTTACCTACGCAATATCAGCTTTGTTTCATTTTAGTACAAACAATTTCTTATTTTCATTTTAACGAAAATATCTATAATTTCTTTACATTAAAAATTGTCCGGTTTTAAAAAAAAATTATATCCTAAAAAATTAACACCAAATATTTACATTTGCACGAATAAAAGTAAAATTAATTTAAAAAAATAATACTCATGTAAACATAGATTCGATTACATTTCGTCAGTCGTACACAGTTTAAAAATGTCTGTCCTGATCAACGAATATTTTATTTCTAAAATAGTATTCTATGTATTAATAAGAATATAGGAATATAATTTAAAAGCAGTTTACTTGGTATTTAAACACTTTCTCAACTAAATGAGTAGGATATTATAGTAAAGTGTGGTTTTTTTTTTAATTATATTTTGTACCTTCTTAATAATTTTGATTAAAGGAAATCCAAAATGAAAGATTTCAATTTATAAAATATCGTCAAAATACGACGGTTTTATTAGATGAATTGCTATTGGTGGAACGTTTTAACAAATAGATTCAATAGGGACATTATTGCCCTCTTAGAAACATGGCGATGTTCGCGATATCTACACGTATATGTATAAATTGTCAAACAATTAGCGTTAGAGAATGAATTATTAGAACATAATTGCAACAATTTCGAGCACTCGTTAAAACTTACACATTGACCGTGAATTCCTTCTTTGTGGACATTTCTACTCTCACTTTTAATTACTCTTCACTCTTGTCCACTGTTCTAACTATACTAGAGTAGATGAATAAAAGACCAAAAAAGAGGAGTTCGGCTCACACTTTGTGTATGTTTTTATAATCTCGCCTCATGTAGAAGTTATATTCCCGTGCATGGTAAAAACTTTCGCTCTAAAATTAAGTTTAGAAATTTTCGTGTTCTAAATAAACTTGTTACATCCAGAAATTCCTTTTCAATAAAATTAAATAGAGTCATAATTTTATGTGATATTATTTAATATTTTAAGGGCACAAAATCTGGCAATAAAATAGAGAATAACTATTCTATTATCCACTCAAATGTCCTTCGAGTCGCAAACTCTTTGCGACCGCGCCGCCAGACATGTAAATATTATGTACTTAACATAATAAACAGCGCCCGCGATCGCGCTATCATCATGAAAAAAATTATAACAGTGCATTTAACATAACATAGTTACTCATATAATTTCATAAGCATACCTAGTAGTCTCAATGCCGCACTTACCTTTTCTGTGCTCTATATGTACCTAGGCTACAAATGTAATTTCATATTTCATTCAGCGTTTGGTGATAGTTTGGTGATACATTATGTTTTTAAATAATATTCGTATATTTTGATGTATATAAATAAAGTGTAAATGTTTAACGCACAAATAGTTCGAGCAAATATACTAAGTATGTGAAACTGCATACGAAAAAGAATTATGTATTTAGCTGTACTATTACAGATAAAAGAACGATAAGAAATACGATAATAGGAGTTTTCTCGTACCATCTGACACTAAATGTTATTTTTATCAACTTATAATTTATTTAGAATTTATCACGTCCTTCGGTATCATGTACCAAATTACGGTCGCTTCAATTCCTGGCAACACATACGGTCCATCATTCACTGTAAATTACAAAATGGAAATTAATTAGTGTTACTATAAGTTAGTCTTTCATGTTAGATTACGCAATAAATCAGTTGACTGTCATACACACGCACAAAACATTGAGAAGTTGCTTTCGGGGTTATCTACGAATATTTTTAAAGAAAATTTTACCGTCGCATTCTGTTAATATAGTGTAAGGAAAACACCAAAAGTTAGCCTTCTTATCTATCAACAATGTGTAATATATATATATATATATATATATATATATATATATATATAATATACATATATATATATATACACACACACATATATATATATATAGTAGTTACACTCCACATTAACGTTGACGTTTTGACATTTTGTACTCTGCAACAATTTTACGAATATGAACTTGCGGGATAGATACATTATGTATAATTTTATATAAAACATAAGGAACTATTCAGATACGATGTTTGAAACTAAAATAGTGTATTGGAAGAGCAGTCTTCTTTCCGTATTTACGTGTAAATGGTATGGGTATGAGAAAAGTGTACACTGTGACGGTTGATACTTATTTTTAAATAAAGAAAAATCTTTATAAACAACGAATAACTTTCATGAGTTCCGCTTTACTAAGATAAATATTATTTGAAGGTGGGGAGTTAGTTAACGTTCACCAACGAATAAATTCTATTATTCCCAAATGTTCTATCCTCACATTGTGCAGCTCCCGATGAAACTGTGTTAAAAATGAGATTGTTGGATATGAGACTACAAAAACATCAGTTTAGTTTAATACGTGAATGTAATATGAGATAAAGAAAAAAGACGGAGAAATAAAATATGTTTACGGTTTATTTTGGTTAAATTCATCAACAGAAAGCGTTCAAATGTAGTTTATATCAAAAATATACGTATGGCAAATACACAAACAATGTTTTTGATATTTTTTCAGTCTTCTTCTATAACGAGTATCGGGTATATTGATGTGAGAATCCTTACTCTGTCAGTTTGTGTAACTATTGGAATTTTGACACTTATACGAACCTTTTGATTTAAGGGACGAATTGGGCTTTCCATCGGGGCTAATTATGTGATTCCTTTAATTATTTTTGAATTTTTTGTTGTAACCTTTTTGCCACCTTCATGGTTACGGCAATGTCACTTAATATTTTCCTAATCAGTTACATAATAACCAAATAGTGACGTTTTCTTAACCCTGCATGTATGTATATGTTATAACATTTTACAGCAAAAGCTCGCAATATGTGGATAGGACATAGCAATATAGGTAGACTTCATAATACAGACAACATCTCTAGATGGTTTGCTTTTCATCATATCTCTTCTTTCGGTAAATGATTCTCTTAGTTAATTGTAACATCCAATAGTATGACATGGCCTTTTCTAAGTAGTTAGTGTTATAAGAAATGATGAAATATTAAAGATGTCTTATGATAAATCATAAAGGTATTTTAAAAAAATAGGGTTCGAACGCATTTAGAATGTGTATTGTTTACAATTACCCCGAAAGTTTCTCTTATATAGTTTGAAAAATTATCTTAAGATCTAATTTACTATTTAAATATTATTTGTATTCTGTAGAATGTTTTGTATGTCGTCAGATCGTGGCTAAAAGATCAGTTTATAGTTAGCCTGTTTAATTTCAAGAGTTTAAGCAATCCTAGCTCAATTAAGGCAACGTATACTAAACTAAAGAGACATGATCTAAATAACTTATCTTTTAGCTACGTGCAAGTTTGTATAAGTCACTATTGTTTTAATGTCTGTTCATAAATTAGTATAAATATAATGCATGTAATTAGTGTCATTTCCATTTAAATGTAAATGTTTTATTTATTTTGATAGTATTATGTTGGTCTAGATAGAAGTTTATAGCTGTTGCGAAGCATACGTTAAGTTAAATTGAATATGTAATACTTCCTCACTCAAGTATCTTGTACTGGCACACTTCGTTCACGTGTGACTGCTGTGATGCATTCCACTTATGTTTTAGAGCGATGCAAAGCTCGTCTCTAACCATATTATTAATTAATCCTTAAAGTTCTAGATCATATAAATATATATTACTTTTTAAGATAAAAGCATAATTTTTTTAAATCTGTCTCACAGACAATATCGAAGAAAATTATAGTCATGCACAGGACCGCTCGTTCATAATTTTAATCTATAATTATACTATTAAAACCTAAATCATAGTGAGAAAGGTAGTGTAGTGTATAATGTAATTTAAACAATAAAACATTCGGCGCGCGGCGCCGGCGAACACTGCCACAGCACGCGGGCTATCAATATATTGATATGATCTAGGATGTGTCGTAGGTGTTTTCGAGTAGTGATTGTGTACTAAGTCTTATGTTACGCCTTCTAAATGATGTAAATGGTTTAGTTAGCACAGGCGTAATCTCTATACGAAATTAAAACACGCTATGCCTTAGTAGCTACACAAATTCGTAGCAAATTGTTCTGCTACATGATTGTAGCTTATGCGTAGCACGTAGCACTACCTGAAAAGCTCAGCTTAGTATTACCAATTGAGCAATACTACGCCTGTGCCTCTAAACCAAGTAGACAACGTTCGACACTCGAAGTAAGATTAATCACGTTCGAATTCGAATAATGGTAGACAGATTTTAAAGTTAAATATTATTTGCATTTTCCTAAGAGTTAGAACGATTGAGACAGTAGGTCAAACGACCGTGTTATGATGAATTGTGGAGATGTTTATTAAAAAAAATACGTTTATGAAAATGAAATAAAAACGAAAAATATTGTCATATAAACTTGTAATTACTAACATAAGAGGAATTATTGGAAAGAACAGAAAAACGTTAAATAAACCAATTAAAATACAGTTGTTTGTCAATTACATTACCTGTAACACACCCTGTTTTATTTATTTTTTGTAACAAAAGAATAAGGTAAAATGAAAAACAGGAGCCACTTTGAATATTTTAATATAAAAATGGTCGCTTACGTCAATATCACACTCGAACTTACATCATCTATTTATTTTAAGTATAAAAACTATGACTTCACATTAAATTATTGTTCTCACAACAGTATAAAAATCATTCATAATCACAGCAAGACGTTCGCTATATACAATACACCGAACGCTGACAGGCACACAACATGATCACAGTGGAGACGCGGCGAGGCGCGGCTACGATCGCCGCTACGAGCTCTACGAGCGCTACGAGCTCTCCGCCGCCGCCGCCAGAAGCGCACACAGCGCCGCGCATAGCGCCAGCAGCGATGGCCGCGTCGACCCGCCGCTACTGCCACCATTGCCACCCGCCCTTTCACCTTCATCTGTCCGACACAACTACACGTTAATCACTGTTCTAATCACCCATTCCCATGTGCAAACGTGCAGGCTATCGAGCTACATCACACAATACAGCTACATATTGCAAACAATTCGAATGTAATAACCATAAAAAGCACCGTTGGAAATTTAATGAACCGTAAAATTCTTTGCGTGTTATAATATAAGCATGCTTATTGGGAACGGATATTACGGAGATGGTAGCAAAACAAATGAAATGAAAACCTACTATACGGGTGAGTGATGCCACGGCGGAGGACGTTGAGCGCCCTCCTAATATATCGGAGCCTCGAGGTAACGAGTAACTACAGTTTAGCTCCATCTGATTGAATGTTGGCAACTGAAAAATGAATTCGCCTTTAACAAGGTAGTTTTTTATTACCGCAACCGTTTCCCGCGGATTCTAACTACAAAATCAAAATCTAGAACTACTTGTACTAATATTTAAAACTCATGCATTAACTTCATAAAAATATTGCAATTAATTATTAATAATTGCAATGAAATGCTGTACTACATATTGAGAATAGATAAGGTAAATAAATATATACTTAATTAATAACCTACTAAAAATTGTGTTGTTAATAACAATCTAATTATTTATTAATAGAAATGTTAAACAAGCTACTTTACGTTGTATGATGTATGCTCATGCTTAAGCGTTGATACATCAAATTATTAGTTACAAAATAAAAATTATTAAAAACTCAGTTTCAAAATAAATTATTAAGTTAGTATCATTGTAGTAGTATACATAATTTCCTATTTTTAATTATTATTAAAGAAGTGCAAAACGTGGCGAAAGTGAAGGTACACTCTTTATAAAGATCAAAGTATTTCTTACTTTAAATAATTTGTAGTGTTACGACAGAAGTCTTCCGTTATAATTTCAAGAAGAGAACGCGTAGTTTTCGTATATTTGTATCTAAAATTCAAGGATTAGTGACCGAGTTTGGGAAGGTTAGAGACCGAGTGATGCAATGAATAATATGAAAGAATTTTTCCCTTGCTTTTAAATAATTATTTATTTGATTGATTACGATAATTTCAATACAAATTTACTCCTAATTACCTCCTTCCTGTGTTATAATTAGATTGGGTACGGAAAAAGTTAAGACAAGTTACTAATCGCCATCGATAACAATGCATTATAATAGGAACACAAAATGTCCATACGGTATAACAGAAAGGTTAAATTATAGTTGCGACTTGTGCCAGAATGAACACCGAAGAAAGTTCCGGTGTGAGTAGTTTTTTATATAAACGTAAGACCTTCCTGTATACTTTTGGCGGTTTATATACATAAACTGCACAAGGACACACATCCAGACGTGGAACAATTATTTGTATACAAACACTGTTTCCGTTCTGCGTTCAACATAAGCTTTCTTTTTTTACATTTCCGTAATTATTATAAAGGTAAGAATATTTTACACCGATCTTATAGAAATACGTCTAGCATTTTTTGCATGTATCTTTTTTAATACACAGACTGACAGAAAAAAAATCTATCAATGAATAAATTGGCTTCTGTAACTCTTATTTAGTACCTACCCTAGACGTATTTTTATTAAAAGTTATTAGAATTATAGATACGACTATTTTTCTACAGATTTATTATTTGAACATAGTATGGAGACTAAAGAAATAGGTAACCTTTAGAATAAACCTATATCTTATTATAATTATGTATTCCATATATTAATCCATATCATTATTTCCTAAAACTATAAAAAAAACAAATAGCGTTAACCTAGCTAGCAAGCTTACGTGCAATAGTTTCCTTTAGCCCCAAGCGACGAAGAACATGCAAAAGACATGCAAATGTGACATGAAAAACGTACAGGTGGCGCGTGACAAGCTCGCCGGTACTAAAATCACCGCTTATGTTTAAATCTCACTGGTACTCATATGTTCTCCTAATTTACTAATTGAGTCTTTGTTCTTTATGTTATTTCTTTATGTACAATGTTCAGGAACTCTCCACCGAGGCTATTCCCTGAACCAGAAGAATGATCTGGGAGCAGATGATTTTACACCTAGAAAGACAAAACACACAAACACACATAACGCAAGGTGAACGTGTGACATGCACCTTCACGTATGTGCCACGGACACAAACATTGTACAACATTTTCAAAGTGAGTGTAACATTAGGGTGCAACGTTTAGTCAAAACAGTGTAAACACATAGCTTTTAAAATTATACAACAATCATGACCGGCTACTAAAACAATTGTTTAAGTGTATTATATATATTATTTTTTTTAGAAAGTATGTGCTAAAATTAAAAAATGCCGATCAAAACAATTTGTTTTAAAAACCATTTAAGTTGATTATTATATTTTGTGATCTAAAGTGCACTAAGTACTAAATGTACTTAACTATGTAATAGTATAATTTTTGTTTGTGTGGTAGTACGCAAAAATATCAAGCACATATATATTATACTTTATTTTAAGAGTAACAAACTCTTTTTGTGCCAAATATTTTAGCGCGGAATACGTAGATAGATTCAAAGGCGCCCAGAAGCCGCGTTTTTATTAAATCAGGACTCACCGTCGACCAGTGCCCCTAAACCTGAGCTGACATACAAAGCCAAGCGAACGAAGATCCATGTATGAAGCGCCTTTCAAGCAGTTTTATATTATATCTAGATTAACATGATGCGATTAATAAGTCGATATGTAAAAAGCTTTTAAACAAAATTATTAGTCTCATGAAAAGAAAGTTAAACTGTGTTAATGATTTTGTTTGACGTTTAAATAACGAAACACTAAAAAAAGCTGTTAGTTTTTTTTAATTAAGTTGAATTAACCGGGAGCTGAAAATCATGCAATTTAAAAATAAACACTGAAAAAATACAATCATAACAATTCACACAAAAATAAAATACATATCTTTATTATTACCATAAAGAAATATTGAAAAATAATTAGTGTCTAAACTAATAGTATATTTTCATAAAAACACAAAGAAACAAATAGAAAAATAATGAAAGACATTCACATAAAGGGCAAAACAGCAAACATTAAACAATGGCGTCGGCGACGGTCATCCCTTCTTTGAAACTGTAACACGAATATTTGATAGCTCTTGAAACAATACCTTACTTTATATTGAGACTGATTTAATAATTTTAACTACATTCTTCTTAAAAATATTATTAGGTAATAATATTTATAAAAAAATTATTAAGTCAAAATTTAGCTTAATAAATTAACTCTAATACAGATTTCGTAATAGAGGGTACTAGGGAGATATTTCGCATCTTTAAATAAATTAAAAAACTATTAACCCCCGGCTGATAACTTATTTTAATCGAAAAACTATAATTAAAAGGCTTACAACCTGCAATCGTAGCCTTATACAGAGGATACTCCACGAACTCTAATAGTTTTTAGAGCTCTTTAATTACACTATATTAAATGCAAATGCTGGGTGTCTTTAGGCAAAGATTTAAATAGTTAGATGCGCCCTTACCATAGTATGACCAGTCCGAAATATGTCCATTCTCAAATGAGTGAGCTCACTCATTCGCAATCAGTGCTCATTTGTGCGACAGAGAAAGTAGTATACACAATTTCTGTAAGATAATAAGAGATGACACTATTGCATTAGTGTGCGCGCGTCAGCGTCTTGCAAACGAACACATCCAAAAATAATGCCACAGTTTTCAAGGTGAAGGCGCATCTAACTATTTAAATCTCTGTCTTTAGGTATCCTTTAACCTCTTATTTTTGTTCTAAATGGGTAACATTAGTAAGTTCAAGAGCTATCGCGCGTCTGGGCATCGATGAAGCTACCTGCGTCGAAGAGTATGTCGCCGACGTCGTCGTCGGCGGGCGGCTGCGTGTCGGCTGCTGAGAGCCGCGCGTTACCTCCTATGGTGCCGCGCGGCGCGCCGCTGCAGCCCAGCCACCAGTACGCGATCGAGCGCGGGAACGCCGTCTTGTCCGTGTCCCCCTGCACATTCAAACATTATTACGTGCTAGAGCCATGCAGCTATATTATAGTTGTAGCACGAATGGGTCGGCTCGACCGGGAAAGTACCACGCTCGCACAGAATAGCAGGTTAATGTTTCGTACGGTGAGTGTAGATAACCGCAGACACTTTTTACTGGATACGAGGCATTCCATTATAGTCCTAAGGTGTGACAACCTATCTGCATAATTACCGCCTGTATCCACTTACAATCAGGTGGACTATTTTTCAATAATCGCGATCTACTGGTCTTCTTATCCTACCTACTAGTACAATAATTTGCGTTAATTTATATTTTGTTCTTTTACGTAAATGTATACTTTAAGGAACCGTACCTTTATGGCCTTAAAAACATTAGATATTTCTTGTTTTAAATTATTTCTCAAAAAGTTTTTTTTAATAAAAGTAACGACGACTAAGCTCTAATGAAAATTATTACTTACGCTGAAAGTTCTGTCGTTAAACCTCCAATATGAGGATCCTTTGAAGAAGTATGTATATCCGTTCGTGTATTGCAGGGCTGCGTCGATGTTATCCGGAATTCCTTCCCAGTTAGAAAGCGGCTTGGGGTATGTGGATTTGACCGGAGGGCGTTGAGAAGGATCGAACCGCCAGAATTTGGTACCCTTGTAGAAGTATATCTTGCCGTTGCCTGACCAAACTAACGCCGCGTCTATGTTGTCTGGTATACCAGTAAACCCTGAAATGGAGGTGAATTTCGTTTCAGCTGCATTACAAAGAATAATGAAGTATTGTGTTGTTGATAATTTATTGTTCAATAATAATATACGTGGTAGAGCCATGCTGCAGCTATATTAAAGTTGTAGCACGAACGAGTCGGCTCAACTGGGGAGAATACTAGCGTAAAATAAACGCTCAATGCTATGTTTCGTATGGTGAGTGTAGAGAACTAGAGACCCTTTTTACTGGATACGAGGCATTCAATGTTAGTACTCAGGGGTGACAACGCATCTATATTTTGATTCTTAATTGAGGATAGATGTAGATGTCTATGGGTCTCAGCATCCACTTACCATCAAGTGAACTGGATGCTCGTTTGTCACCCACATTCTATTTAAAAAAAATTATTAGTGATGCTACGTCCGTTTGTGATCGTGTAATTTCTGAAAGTGATTGAATGCATATTTACACTATACATTTGTTTTGCCCAGATGATTCATAGCTATTTTATATTCATACCTACCATGGTGGCGCTGTCTCAAGTTATTAACAACTTGTATAGTTCTAAGTTGTTTAATGACAGTTATGAAAATCACAAAATGTGAACATAATTGCTGGCGCTGTGGTCGCATTATTAATTACGCTGTAATATTAATATATTAGATTAAGATGATGTTGTGACCAGAATTAAGAAAGGAATGCTTCGGTGGTGTGGTCATGCGGAAAGAATGAGTGAGAAAAGAGTGACAAAGAAAATATATGTTGCAGAAGTGAATGGCTGAGTCGGAAAGGGACGTCCTAGGCGAAAATTTATCGAACACATTAGCAATTTATTGAAAACGGGCCAAATTAGGAGTACCCTTAACCGACGAGCATGTTTGGGTAGGTATATAGATTGTGAAGGAGGCGAGAGTGGTCTGTCAGGATCTTTACTCTCTGCCTATTCCTCTGGGTGACAGGCGTGAGTGTTTATGTATGTATGTTCTGTATTAATATATTAATTTTTATATACACAGTAAAATACTGACAGACAAAAAGGTGAAACCAAATTTTGGCATGAAGCATTAACAGCAATGTAAAGTTTCCGCGGGCAAAGCTGCGGAGAAATCCTAGTCCATTATATATTTATTTTGGCTACACGTAGGTTTTTAGGACACAAGAGATTATTTTTTAAATGTTTCAATAATAAACTGGCTTAGGCAAACACACCCATATTGTTTTTGAGTCCGTAGCTGGACATAGATAATTCCAAGAATGCGTCAGCAATTAAACAGTACTTGATTTGCTCATACTTAACTAAGTAAGTGGTGAACACAGAGTGGTTACCCTTGCTGTCTACTAGAAGGGTATCTAGTGCAGACGTGGTTAGTATTTTTGACGAAACTATTGTGAAAAAGTTGGAATATTCGTACATCCTCTAAGTACAATAATATTCTACTGAAATTTTCAAAATAAAATTATATACTTTTATTGCTTCTATTACAATTACTTGTCAAAAATCAGTATCATTTACAGTGTTATTGATAGTATAATACACATATTTAAATTATATGCTAGAGATCCGGTTTTCCTACCTACAGAGGGCAATTGTGAATCTAAACTACCCAAGAACCCACACAAACACATACAAAGTTTCATTAAAATCGGTCCATGCGTTTAGGAGTTTAGTAACAAACACACATTCAGAAGAATTATATATGTATAAGAAGATTATTATACCGTTGCAGTTTATTAAAGTGTTCTGCTGAATAGGCTTCCCCAATAAATTGCCTCATATTTTCCGTAGTTGCCACACTTGGCAAGCGTGTAAGCAACCGCAGTTTTTTTTTATTTTTAGTCATTATTAAGAATCGCCAATCGCCAATTGGCGATATAATAAAAATGGGCCAAATTAAGAGTACCCTTAATGGATATTCTTACACCGCCACTACACGGTAAGAATATTATTATAGGGGGATTTAATGGGAAAGGGACAGTACCTTCACTTATTTCCTTGGGATAGTCGCCGTCGATGTTTTGTCCTTTATATCTCCAATATTTGGAACCCTTGAAGAAATACGTTTTCCCGTTCTTGTATGTGAAGGCGGCGTCGATGTTACCGGGCAGGCCGGGCCAGGCGCGCGAGATCAGCCGAGGGTAGCCCGCCGCTACGCCGGTCTCTGTGAGCCGCCAGTAGTGCTCGCCTAAAACAAATAGCTTTTTTTATAACAATATTAACGAGAAAATATTAGCATCATCTTGGACTAATGAGAATATCACAAAAATTATGCGCATGGTAGAAACTTGTAATATAAGACTGACCGATCTGCAGTATATACCGGGTACTTCGATTGAAAGTATTAACTCTACAATATTTCATGACTAGCGGATACCCGGCGCGGCGTGTGTTATTTCTTATATGTACGCTAACACTACACATTGAATAAAACTACTTTTATCAAATCTGATGTAATGGTGGTGGCCGTCCAGGATATGATGCAGAAGTGTTACTTGATTGTGAATGTGGTCTCTCATATATAGGGCAAACAAAAAGATCTATAAACACTCACTTAAAAAAACATATAGCTGACGTGAAATTCCAAAGTTCCGGGATATCTGCAGTTTGTGGTCGTAGCCTATACGGCCTCCGCCATTACATCAGATTAGATAGACCACGAATCCTCGCGAAAGAACACCGATTCCTAACAAGGATGATACGTGAGGCTATTGAAATTAAAAAACATCCTAATTTCTATAGAGAAGGAGGCTAGGTATTTCCACCTTCTTGAGATCCTGTAATTAATAAAATTAAACTAAACCTAAGCATACCACTGTAAGACTTCAAGACACAGTAAGTTCATTCTGCGTAGATCGGACCAAGTTTAATAATTAAAAAGCTAAATGTACTCCGGGTTAACTCTGACGTCGGGACGTCAATCATCTCAGTTCCCCGGGACCATGGATGCTGGAAAGCACCCGAAACACCTGGTATTAAAATGAAGCAAATTAAACGAGATAAAATCCGTAAAGGTAGTTTTATTCAATTTTGTTTATTTATTGGAAAAAAAGGAAAATTTGTTTATTTATTAACTTTTTTATAAAGTGCCTAATACCACTAATGCATTGTTTTATTGATCTAAAACCATCTTCCCATTACTGCACTTCTAACTCTGGTTTGGGGCACATCAGTTTGATGGTTTCAAAGTATATAGTGGACATAGGTAGAAATATTTTTTATGTTTTATGTACATAGATATTCATTTAAGTATCATTTATTCAAAAAAATATATAATAATGTGTAATATGGCAGATTATTATTATTTTGAGTTATTATCAGAATGATGATTTGAGTTATTTTCACAATATTAAGGAATTTATGGATGATTATACCCCTGGGAAGGGTGATCGCTACCAAGCTATTTCTAATTTGTCTTGTGTTTTTAATTGTAAACATGATTGTAAGCTATTATTTGAAAAAAGAATTGTCCCTCTGGGTTTCTGGCTGGTTCTTCCCAGGACATCGGTTTTTTTTGCAAACCAGTGGTAAATGAAAAAAGTGTCCTAATCTACATTGAATAAAAAAGTTTCTGTTTCTGATGCTGTTTCCTGCTTTATTTCCTTCTGCCGCCTCTTACGACACCAACGCTCTTCCAGGTGTTGGATTCTTTTAGTATATTTCAACAAGTGTTTTTAGCTTTTTAGTTCGGTATTGTTCTAATAAACAATCTCATTAGAACCTTTTACAGAAGTGTAAGTAGAGTTATGTTCGAACACAGAATAGGTTAATCTAGCTAGATATACATGGTTATTTTGCTATAAGCGGCCAAATTTGCAAAGAAGATTTAGAATAAATAATGTAGGCAAATGGTGAAGAAAACTTAATTAAAAAAAATCTCAAATATTCTGTCCTATTTATCTTGTATATTCAAAATGCGTGCGATTTTACTTAATTTTACTGCGCACGCACACATTCGTAAAGGTCGATCGGTAGGCAAAATCGATGTTGCCCATAAATCGCATACAATTTGGGATAGTTTCAAATAAAATTAGATGCCCTATTTATTCGTGATTTCAAAAACTGCAATAACTGTATATCATTATTTATATATTTAAACATAAGTTTCAAATTTGGCTAATCCTTGAAAAATAACCCTGTATTTTCCGAAATTAGATTTACCATATTAAAAAACTGTAAAATTATAAAAAAAGTTCCTGATTAATTTCAAATGTATAATAACTAACCTTTAAAAACAAATGTTGCGCCGTCAGCGGAATTAAAGATGGTGTCAATGGTCGGGTCTGCGCACAGAGCTGGATCCTCGGCTGACGTCGTCGGTGTAGTGGCGCGAGGGGCTGATGGTCGTGAAGGGTAGCCGCCGATATCCAGTTGGGTCTTGTGTCCGTATAAAGCCTTTAAACAAATTTGAACAATAACTTTAAGAATGATTTGTACTTATTAGACTATTAGGGCGACTCGATTCGTAATTAAAGTATTTATTGTAAAAGCTACAGCAGAGCTCGGCGCTCCTGCAGAATTATGGTGCAATAATTGGCTTGTTCAAATTTATTAGTGATGTGTATCATTATCATCATCATCACCACCCATCTCAAGTCCACTGCTGAACATAGGCCTCTCTCAAGGAATATCACAAAGTACCACATTCATCCATCGACTCCCTGCATCTCTTAACAGGTCGTCACTCCAGTTAATGGAGGGCCGTCCTACACTTTGATAATCAACAGCCCATTACCACTTCAGCTTATTGATTAGTTGGGTCGTTTACACTGGTCCTACTGAGGATATCCTCATTATAGTCTATCACGCGGAGAAACTGAGTACTCTACGATCATATACGATCAGCAGCAAAGGACCATGTCTCGGTTCCATTTTGAGTTAGTGGATACACGCGCTTTTGTGTACCACACTTGTTTCAAAGTTTTGAGGTATACGTGGCAAGAAAATATGTTGTGATGATCTGTTTATTATAGTAATATTAAAAACCAACACTTATGTAAAGTGTGACAATCGAACAACTCCCACAACATTTGTTTTGGATTAGTTACAGCCTATATACGTCACACTGCTGGGCACAGGCCACCTCTCATTTCTGTGAGGGTTTTAGGGCTAGTAAATGTACGCCGCGCTGCCCCAACGCGTATTAACGAACTTGACATGTCATGAAAATATTTTTTTCTTATATCCCAGATATGCAGGGTTCAGACATGCATGTTTTCCTTCACTGGCAAGTACGTGGTAAATCAGCAATTAAAATTGCAATTAACAATTTCATTGGTTCCAGGCGGGGATTGAACCCGGGTTGCCTGCGTACTGTGAACCGCTAAAACAAACCTGAATTCCTTGAACGTCATCTTGGTCGAGCTGGAAGGCTGGATCGTAACCTCGGTAGAAGGGAGCCATGAGTGCAGAACGGATATCACTGTGAGATAGTCCTAGCGAGTGACCAAATTCGTGAGCTGCTACCTGCGTGAAACAAGAATTAGGAATTATAAATATTACACATATTCTATTAAAGTAGGATTCTTAAATTCAATACCATAATCGTTATATAATTTGTTTAATTATATTTTATATTTAATTTATTTGTTTAATAATAGTTTGATTAATTTTGTATGTTGTTGTATGTATAGCTGCGGCACGAATGGGTCAGCTCAAGCGAGGCATGTCCAGGTTCTCCCAGAACACATTAAATTACAGAGTACTTTAAACAATAGCATAATATTGCTGTGTTTTGTAGAGACTTTACACTGGTAATGAGGCATTCCATCTAAGTCCTTAGTCGATGATATCTGAGGACCACAGTTACATTCATGTGGACTATGTACTGGTTTGTCACCCCTGCTTGTTTAAAACTAATATTTTAAATTGTATTAGTTGTAAATAATGTTTTATTAATAGTAAAGTATTTGTTTTTTAATGTTAGACATTTTTGGTGAATGTTTTATATATTTTTATGTATTTATATAAATATGTAAAAGCTATTTTCTTTAGTGTGTTCAATTGGATAACTCGCCTTGTCGTAATGATAACCACGTATCGTCAAATCCTACATATATTATGTGTAATTATCGTTTGTGTTCATCAATTGATGTACGTACCTGGAAGAGGTTGGTTCCGCGCTGTGAATTAATTGACCACATTTCAGCATCGTCAAAGTGAGCGTCGCCGCCATAAACCTGATTAAAATCACATTTTCATTATAAACTACAATAAGAACAAACGAAAAATGAAATAGTCAAATGCGAAAGTGTATTTACAAACAATTTCATTATAGATTACAAAACATGAAAGTGTCACGACTACTGTGGTAACTTAATTTGATTGATAACAATCTGTTACTAAAATTGAACTAAGCAATAACGTCCGCATTCCTCATTTTCGATTTATAACGTTTCCATTCATATTTTATGTCGTTCGCTTTGACCACCCGACCACAAAACATATTATTAGTAAATTACAACTACAAAGAATACAATAATATTTATAATAAAAGAAATGTAACGCTTTCCGTTTAAAATAGAAAATTCGCTATTTCCGCCATTAAATATTTATTTCGCCATGTATTCAAATTGAGCGGTATTGGGAGTGCTTATAATAATTAATGGTTACATTTTTAATTTTTTTGAAAAAATAAACGAATTGATTCCTTATTTTAATTGCAACGGTGATGATTTACTGTTAAGGATGATAATGACTTAACATGCCATCGCCAAATACTAGTACAGACTTCACCCATGTATAATGTACATCGGTGACGTAGATTACTTTTGATCTAGCTACAGCAGTGGTTTAGACTAAAATCAATTAGGCTTCTTATAATACACTATATCAAATAAGTTTTTTTGCACGCCTCACAACGCGTGAACGTGTGGATGTGCTCTACTCTCGACATGCCGCTATGTGACGATTTTTCAATATAAAATGGTTAGTATGTCTCAATTTAGCCACGAAAATAAATAAAGAGATGTTTTGACTAGATACATTTAATTATAAAGTCAGCACATTTTTGTATTCATTTGTTAAGTTATATTTACAAAAATTGTAGTTAAAAGATTATTTATGCGGCTGTCAGTTAGTCTGGGCACATGTTTGATTTCACGTTTCTGAAAAATATACGCAATGAAATGAAATAAATACTTCTGAATAACTCTCCATGTATCCTCAAGATGATCTCTATTGCTGTAATCAGACTCATAGATGTTTAAAAGATTTTTTTTTTTTGATAAAAACCCTCACGAGACGTGAACTTTTGGATTTTCCAAACTATTAATTAATTTATTTTTTTTATTATTCAGGAAAACCTTTATATAATACGGATTAACAAGGAGAATTATTATTTTTAATAATAACGTTAATAAAATAAAAAATAAACACATCGAGTTAGGCTTAAGGCGCCGTTTTACCTAAGTCCGTTATTACTTAGTCTATACAAGTCTACAAATGGCTCGAAGTTAGACCATAATATGTCTAACTTTGCGCTATATAGTCGAATTTTACAAAAATCACTTAACAAAATGTAAAGTAAGATGTAATAATATTTCTTAATATTACTCACAGGGAAGTACGCATGAGCAAGAGTTCCACCAGGTCCGTCAAATGGGTCTCCATCGCCATGTTCTCCCTTTTCGAATCTGTTAGCAAAAAAGTTATTTTTTAAATCATAATCATGATGTCAGATGAATAAAGTGTTAAAACTCTTAAAATAATAAAATTCAAACAAATTAGTAATTTTAAAAGTTATTATGTTCGTTTAGTATCCTGACTTGACGCAAGGAAAATAAACAACATTTTTATTACATACTTATTCAAGCTTTATTTGTGATTGTTACTAAATAAAAAGTGTGTTAAGCATGAACAACAGGCCTACCGAGACCGAGAATTAAAAATAGTTAAGTAAAATTAAGACGATAGAATCCCTAAAATTTATTTTGTGCGTAGTTCGTAAAAAAAATTTAATAAGAAACGCATTCACGTTCACAACTATAGGTTAAGGGACGAATGGTTACTTTTCTTAGCTTCTGGTAACTAACGGCAGATGCCATGGTGAAATCGAGGATTTCAATGAAATAGGAAGGATGTAACGTACTAAAATATGAATTCCGTAACAGAACCTCAAATGCAACAAATGTTTATCTTATAACAAAAAATAACATCAGCATCCATGCATCAGCCAGTCCTTCATTCGCGTGATAATCTTACAGTAATTACATACATTGCTTGTATTTATTCTAAGGCGCTAATAATCCACGTGCCATTAAATTTATTATAGCAACGTGACATTCCGTCCATAGAAATTTGCAGCTAATTTTAATTATGTATGTGTAATGTAAATAATTTATAGCGATTGTTTTTTTTTTTTTAAATTTATTTCCGCTTCTGGCTTAACAATCCCAAACAATAGTTTAAAATATAATAAAATAGCTCAGTCAAGATAAAATTGACTACAGATACCAGAACTCTACTACGATTATTATGACGCATTTGCTGATGACGAGGTCCTGGGACTGAATCCTGGATCGCACCAAAATCAGTTATTGGGTTTTTTGTCAAGAAAATCTCAGTAGCAGCACGGAGTTACGAAGTTGTTTCAACTCTGTGACCCGTAAAGCCGTTAGTCCTGAGCCTGATCTCTCTTGGGTGGTGTCGGATTACTATCGCATCAGACTATGAGAGTGAGAAAGTAGTTAATGTTCCTGAGCTTGCAGCTGAGCTGAGCATACACTTGGGCACTATAATCTAATAATAGATGTCTAAGTCCGTTGAGTGTCGTGACCGAAAATCGGTCTAGAGGATGATTTTATAAAAAATCTTTAAAATTTAATAAAAATTTCTATTCCAGGCAAATATTAGTATGCATGATTATAATATAGTTACATTACGTATATATATAATTTTGCGTGTACATACATATTATTTTATTATAGAATATTTTTCTAGGTGAAACATGATAACCATTATTATTGTGTTACCCAACGTAGATTACCATTGTAACAACATAGAGTTGTTATGCAATCAACCTTTTTGTAGATTATGATAAAATGTGGCACAGATTGCAAAACACGATGAAACAATTTTACTAATGTACCCATTTTAATACATTCATCACTAAGAACATTAATATCTACAGATTTAAATTATTATTTACTGATTTTTATAACCAGAAATTGATTGAAACTGTTTAAATATCGATAAGAATATTACCGACCCCTTTTTGAAAAACGTACCTGATTTCGATATGCACCGAACCGGAACGCTTCTGCGTAAAAGTAAGATCAGTGTAGTCTGACCACACAGAGAAAGCTTTGGCTAATTCGTTGTCAACTTCGGCGTGGTTCAAACGCGACGGATACTTTGAAATCTTGTACGTAAGGTTCTTCACACGCCATCTTGAACCTGAAAAAGGATAATATGTGAAGAATAAACTGTATTAAAAAAGAGTAAGAACTAATATTTTAAATTTATTAATAACAAAAACAGCATTTTAACTATATAAGAGTAAAGAACACATCTTTACTTTTATATTATTATCAGTGTTTTACTGGGGGTTTAGTCCTCACGGGTACAAGCATCTGCATTTTGATTGTAATCGAGTATAGATGTAGATGTCTATGGGCCACAGCAACCACTTACTATCAGGTGGACTGTGTGCTCGTTTGTCACCCTATCCTATAAAAAAAATACAGTACAATTGTTAGTGTTAATTGCTGTAACATGTAGAAAGTGTTTGTTGATGCAAAAATTATACGCATTCAAAATTTACCGCTAAAAAGCACCCCTTCGTCGTATCTCCTTAATTTCAAGGCATTTGAAATGCCCTTGTTGCTTCAGCCATATGGGAATCCTCGGTGTACGTATCGAGTGATGTGCAGTTTCGTGGTCCCTTGGAAGAGAAGGCCAAATGGCCTCTAAAAAGCTTGGCGTACTCATCAGAGCGGGACAGTATTTCATACCGGCTCACCGCCTGCAACTTCACAAGGCGCAGGTTTGGCCGCACATAGAATACTGTTCCCATCTCTGGCCGGGGCTCCCCAGTACCAGTGCCTTCCATTTGATCGCATCCAGCGCAGAGCTGTTCGAATCGGCGGCGACCGAGCTGTTTCCGATCGGCTTGAGTCACGGGCACTGCGAAGAGATGTTGCATCTCTTTGCGTATTTTATCGCATCTACCACGGGGAGTTCTCTGAGGCATGGTTCGGACTTATTCCAGCCGCACAATTTCACCATCGCACGTCGTGACAAAACTCGCAAAACCATCGCTACCATCTGGATGACTGGCGGTCCACCACTGTGCTATTTAAAAGAAGTTTTCTTCCTCGCACAACTTCCTTGTGGAATCGACTACCACCAGAGTTTTTTTCGGACCTATACGACTTAGGGACCTTTAGGAAAAGAGCCTATTCCTTTTGCATCATCTTTTGCAAGCAACGCATCTGCAATTCCCCTGGTGTTGCAGTTGTTCATGGGCGACGGTAATCACTTAACATCAGGTGAGTCGTATGCTCGTTTACTCCGTCTCCTAAAAAATTACAAGCATGTTATGCAATTCCTTCACACGTTCGTATTAACGTTGACTTTATTAACGTTTCATATCATGTGCCTAGTCCACACACACAAACCACATCAACACACACAAAAAATACTATTTAAATTTAAATATATTAATATGTAACAATGTCTACTCAACAATACTCTAAGTTTTTCCTAACACATCCGTCTGCCACTAAATGGCAAACGTGTGTTAGTTAATGTTGTTAGTCTTTTGGCTTTTACAGCTTTGATTCAGGACTTGCGGCCTTTATTGAGCTATACTGTAATCCTAAAAATAATAATAATCGTATTAAACATTATACTAACCTTGCAACACGTATCTTTTGGCGCGGCTTTCCCCAAATCCAATCTTGTCTCGAACACCACATCTCGGTAAGGACATGACGTTTGCTGTTTCGTCATCCAATTCACCTGTAAATCATTGTTCAGTTACGATATATGATATCGATTCATTTAGCTCCTATAGATAGTACATGATATTTTTTCTGTCGCTAAGTGGGGAATTACACGGCATATTGTTTACTCATTTTAATCTCACAAGCTAATAAAGTAAATATCTCATGTCGTAATAGATTGTAAACAATATTAATACTTGATAGATAGAACATCTTTAAGCGGTTCTGCTCTCACGGAAATAACTATACAAACAAAGCAAATTGCTTGAAAATCATACGTTAACCCTGAATCAAAGTTAACTTCGTCAGAAATAATTAAAATTCAATTACATATATGACAGACACACCGATCGAATTAATAATAAACTAAGTTAACTAGTATAAAGATCTATTTATACAAAATATACACGTACATTTAATTTATTATTCGGTCAACGGAAAAATACAAGTAATTTTTTCCTCTTTAATACTATTTATTACGAGTGAATGACAGAACAGGGAACGCGTGTAGTCGTGCGTATATTCCTCCTATATTGCCTTTACACATTACGTGACTCATTGGGCATGTATGTTATCTAATTCACTATTCATACAGTGAAACTTGGCATTTTAATGGACTCCTTAAAACAACCTGTGCATTGTCCAGCCATGAATTATGTATACTTGGCCCACATCACTGTTATTTGCTTACATAATAACATTGCTCTAAACACATAGTGGAATTCGATAAAAAACTTTTCTTATCTTTATCTTGACAACATGTATCGCGAAATTGCGTAAAAAAGTACAAAAATGATTCATCATACAGAACAATTCTTCGTTGTCATCATTGTCATTACCATTACATCTCTTTACAAGTCTAGTTTTAATGCAACAGCATGTGTTACCTATTTGAGTCAAAGGGATAAAGAATACAAATCTGATTTTTAGTTAATTGTATCTATAATTTAAAAGTCGTGACAAATTGGATTGGCGGTTATTTTAGAGCTTGTCTTTTGCATTGGCACGGCTCTCCCCTTTTTTTTTTTTTTTTTTTTTTTTTTTGTTTTTTTTATAAAATTTTAAATTTTTTGTTTCTAATTTTGGTTTTTTTGTTTCGTTTAATTCTTTTGGTTTGCTTTTTTTAAAGAATTACTTATATATCACTAGCGTAAGGACTGGGCCGTCCGAAAAACTAAAACGGACCAGTGCGCTGGCCCTAAAATTACAGTTTAGTGGCCTCGTGGTAGACACGAATCGGTCAACAGTGGTGCGCGCACAGGACAGATTTGCCTACCACAAATATGTCTAGTTGCGTGGTAAAAGAATACAAAAATTACGATACAAAGATTTAAAAAAATAACATGGGATATCGTATCATCGGTAAATAACTTTATATTAATTTTGTTACAATTAAATTATTATATAAACGCATTTTTAAAGCTTCGTTTTTGACGGTTTTATTTTTATTTATGTTTAATTTTTGTCTAAAGAACTTAGTGTAAGTTAAATTTTGAATATTGGTACCTAATATATTTTATATTCAATGAGGGTAAAACGAAAAGAGTACCAAAGAAACCATATCTGCTTAATTGAATCTGAAAATCTGATTCATAAAACATTTTGAAGAGAGTTTATATTACTCCTCATTATAGTTGTATCAAGGATGCAACATAAATGCATCGATCGAGCATCGATTGACCAGAAAGGGAGCTAATTCGAACCAGTAGTAAATGAAAAAATTGACTTTCAATAAGTATTGTTTATCTACATACATTGAATAAAAAAGTTTCTGTTTCTGTTTCTATTTTAATTTTATTAAAAAACGCGGTACTCATGTACAATACAGAAATTCTCGATATCGTAGGGTTAATATTAAAATGTAAAAGGACCCAATAATAATACAAGTCAACCTTCAGGTAAAATTATGATATTTAGCTTAGTATTATTACGATACCATGCACTACAAACTATGAAATAATGGTACAAGTAGGAGAATTATACAAAAAAAATCCGACCCTGGTTACGTCGTGTTTTGATATGACGTTTGTATTATAACAGATGCGCTACTTTTTCTTGTATGAAAAAGTTATGAGTAAAATATTTAGATGGGCCTATCCTTCCTTTTTGAAATCATTGGTCTTTCGTAACTTTAGTACCTATAAGTTTTTAAAAAAAATAATAACTCACTACGGAATATTATCACAATATTAACCTGCGCCACTCAGTTAATATTGCTAAACCAAAAAAAATATATTTTTAGAGAACTCTCCAACAACATCAAAACTAAGTTGCATGCGTCTGAATTTCGAAATATTTTTTCCATTATGCGTCAGATACCTTTTCCCAAAGGGAACCAAAAGCAAACAAGGTGTCTGGTCCAAGAAGTCCATTAATTTAAAGGCTGAGTACGTGGGCGCATTTATGACGTTGTCATATATGTTTTGTGGCTTGTTGCTTACACGAGTGAACAATTCTGGTAGCATTAGAATATATACCATTTGACATTGATGCACCTCAAATTCCATAATGGATTTGACACCAGATTCCCCATCAAAGTGAAAAAGTAGCGATTACTTTGGTAGGGTTTGGTCCATTTTGAAGTAAGTCAGCTAATGGGGTTTCGTTTTTGGATCGTATTGAGAAATTCAAGATTCATGACCTGCAGTAATACTGTAAACACGCCGAAATGAACCTGCTTCAAATTTAGTAATTAAATCATGGTACTATAGCACGTGGGTCTGTTTCTGAGTATCGGTAAAGTAGTATGGTACCCAACGCATAACTGTCCTGCTAAAATCCGATCTGCAATATGTGCATAATCTCTTTATTACATACAAATTCGTTATTTCCTTCAATTATTTTCTCTAATGGACGTTTCTTTCGATTCATCTAGTTTCAGGCGACATTTGATAATGGAAAAAATCATAGTTCGAATTTTTTTAATGTGAAATATTGTGCTTAAGTTCAAATAAAGTTTTAAAAAATTGGAACATTCGTATTTTACAATAAGTTATAACTGGCCAGGGTCTCATATAAAATATTTCGTAAAACTGTAGAAGCTATATTGCAGTGACACTTAAGGAGACGAACAGATCGAAATTATATGGTACCTTGTACTTGACATCAGAACCATAAACGTGTAACTCCTATATATGACATGGTCTTGAAATCATTTTTTCATAAGCTAAACTCTAGCTAATTTTAAATTTGTATAAAATGTAAAAAATAAATTGAGTTGAACACCAACCATACATATAAGGTGTATAATATCCATTTACTCTAAAATCAAAATATCTTCATATACATATCTTTCGCGGATGTCGTAAGAGACGACAGAGTAGAGTAGAGTAGAGTAGGTAGCAGCATACTCCTATTAACAACTCAAAATAATTAAAAAAAAACACTGGGATTGCCGCCCGCCAAGCGTGGTAACTTTGGCAAAATCCCCCTTATGAGGCAATCTTTGTTCAGCAGTAGACTTTTATAGGCATCATAGATTAAAGATATCTTCTTCTTATTCATCAATCCGTAACAGTGAACGAGCCTCTCTGTGTTAAGCATTGACGATCAAGATACCAGACGTAGTTCAATATTATTATAAATAAGTGTTATTGGTGCCTCATAACTAGAAAATCGTGTCATCTGTAATATAAGTAAGGTCAGAATGAATCTAATGTATTTCAATAGGTTATTGAGCATGTATTACAATATTAGTAGTATAGTTGTAGCACGAATGGGTCGGCTCGACCGGGGAAGGACCACGCTCTCGCAGAATACCAGCGTGAATTAGTAGCATAATGCTGCTGTGTTTCGTATGGTGAGTGTAGAGAACCGGAGACCCTTTTTGCTGGAAACGAGGCTTTCCATCTTAGTCCCTCATGGGTGACAACGTATCTGCATTTCGATTTTTAATCGAGGATAAATGTAGATGTCTATGGGCCGCAGCAACCACTTACCATCAGGTGGACTGTGTACCCTTTTGTAACCCTATCCTATAAAAAAAATTACGTCTAGTATACTCGTATAATTTTACTATATTTTCAGACTGCCGTGTAGAAGCGGTATAAAAAAAATCTATCACTCCACTTCACTTCCACTTTTTTGGGAGGGACTTTGTGTCCATTGATAAATGATAGGTAGTGTTACAATTAACATATATATCACAGTTTTATGTTACAATTAACATATATGACAGAGTTTTATGTTACAATTAACATATATCACATATGTTATAATGAACATAAAACTCACTTTACTATGTACATTTTCGTTACAAAAATTCGCTTCAAAATTAAGCCTTAGAAAAAAAAGGAGAAGGCTTGTGCCCAGCTGTGGTACGTATAAAGGTGGTCACGTTACTCTTTAATGTTATATAAAACAGCAAAATTAATTTAAAAAAAATATACCTGTTGCATTGAGGCCAGCGAAACTTTGGAATTCAGCGATGGCTCGGCGCCACGATGTTTCATCCATTATATGGCCGCTGGAAGGGTTCCGTACCGATGGATTTAAGTAACCGTATTGCGCTAAATACATCTGCAAAAGAGAATAAATTATATATATAACGGGTTAGTTATAATATTTATGAGGACATTCTAGGTATTCGAAAATCGAATGTAAATAAAATAAATAGGTTATAATATATTATAGCAAGTTACAATTTTATTGTCTAAGCCCGTGATAGCCAATTGTTATTTCAAAAAGTTGTCAGATGTTCATTTGATTGTGAATCTCAAAATAAGACACTTGTTTAAAGTTATAAAAAACTCTACAAATTGAATTTTCTATCCGCATTCACTTCTTTTTTGACAATAAAAATAGGGAAATAAAAATATTGGATAGAATCAATAAAATAATCTTTCTTTTCGTAATAGGCGGAACAACTCTAAAAATGTATACATTTGTAAATACTCGTAAAATGTTTAAAAAGTTAACCGTTTTTCTGCAGTTACTAAGTAATTAAAAAAATTATGCTTGGTAGAGCCACGCTTCAGTTACGAGTGTATTATGATTGTATCTCCAATGGATCGGCTTTACCAGAACAAAATCACAGAATACCAGTGTAACATAGTAGCTATCTCTACACTCACTGTAGACTATAGAGAGTTGGAGACCCTTATACTTGCCTTATCATTCATTCTCAGTCCTCAAGGATGACAATGCATCCATTCACCATCAGATGGACTGTGTGCTCATTTGTCACCCTTATTCTAAGTAAAAATTGTTTATAAATTTTTGTATTATACTTTTTGCTGCAAAAATGCTCTGAAAAAATTACTTTTAGTCTGTATAGTGTTATAACTTAAATGAATAATCGCGTCATCTATTAAAAATGTGAAATTGAGATGTTTTTTAAAATTATTTATTAATCTATAATTTATAAATTAATCAGTATAAATAGCTTCCGATTACAGTAAAACTCTCACTGGATACTGATAGTTTTACTCGCTATACTCATATTTATACATAATATGAAAAAATTACAATTTAGAGCGATCATCAATGTTTGACTGGTTAGAGCTCCATCTTTCTAACCTTAAACAATTTGAATATTTTTCGTTTAAGTACTCATCTCCTATACGTAAAAAACACTAACATATTGGTATTACATTTATATTGGGAGTATTGGGTTTGATAAAAAAAAATATTAGCTGAAAATGTGGTAATCGACTTGAGATTAAAATTATCGCTTACAGTTTTGATTCCTGAATTCAATTTAATATTTGATAAAAGGTGATATATACCAAACCATTTTGTGCCTAGCTTTTAACAAAAGATTAGTTGGCATTCGTATTTTGGAGCTATTAAGATTCTTGTTACCCATTTACTCCCCTAGTTCTTATATATATATATATATATATATATATATATATATATATATATATATATACATATTTTAGAAAGACAAGTTTACTTTTATTTATAGATGAGAACTACATGCATTCGTGAAATATTGAAAAGTCACTTATAAGAGACGAGAATCGAACCGACCGAGAAATAAGAGCCCGCATATTATATTTTAATATGATTCAATTCAATAAAACCAATGATAACAATCAAATATTTTACGGTATAAATCAAAAGAGTCATAATATTGATAATTTTTATATGTGATAGAGCCACACTGCAGTTATTATGGTTGTAGCATGAATGGGTCGGCTCCACCGAGGTAGGACCACGCTCTCACAGAATACCAGCGTAAAATAGGTTAATGCTGCTGAGCTTCGTATAGTGTGTGTAGAGACCATTTTTACTGGGAACGGGTTATTCCATCTTAGTCCTCAGAGGTGATAACGCATCTTCATTTTGATTTTTAATCGAGGATATATGTAGATGTCTATGAGCCATAGCATCCACTTACCATAGGGTAGACTGTGTGCATGTTTTTCATCCCAATTCTATAAAAAAAACAATGTCGCTTGTAATGGATTATCTTAGTTAGCTTCCCATTTTATTTCCCAAATTAATCCCTTAAGTCAGATTTAGAAACGCTCTGACAGACAACGAGGTGTTCCCAAAAGTGCAGTTTATAGATTAAAATAAATATAGTGCTCCGTTTTGCGAATGATGATGGAACACTAGCGATGTTGGCTTCCTCAAATCGGAATTAATCATAATTGTGATGATGATGTATTTTTTTTTGTACTTATCCCCTACCTTTTTGCTTTACTTTGTCTTCTCCGTATATAATTTTATCGCAAACGAAAGCAAGGTTATCTCTCCCCCCTCCCCCATTGTTAATTGTTAATGCAATTGATAATGATAACGCCATCGTAAAATTCAGAAACGTTTTACGCAATAAATATGAACTCGATTATAACTGACAGAATCATTGTGTAGTTCAAAATAAACTTGTTCATTTGTTTTGAATTTAGAATTTTGGAAGGTTTACTATTTTACTCATGTGAACAACATGGCGACTGCACGAGGCATTTTTATATTTATGTATATAATAAATGGTGCGTCTGTTAGTGATCGTGTAGCCTTTGAACGGTTTGATCGATTGAGGTCTTATTCACACAAAACAAACAAACGATAGCGAAGTTTCTATATTTATATACATACCTACATAGTTTCAAGCCTGTAATCCCCGTGAAAAAGTGGGTAAGTCGAGTCCAAAAAGTAGGGAACAAATCAGACCACGTTTAGACAAAAAATATGGATTAAGATGGAAAATTGTGAAAGCAGTAATAGGTGACTAACTCATCATCATCATAAATTCAATATTTCATTAGTCGTCTTTTACGGTATGATACGATATGCTACAATATACTGTTTGTTATAAGTCCCGCGTAAACTTATAGGTATAAGTCCCGTATCAACATGGGAAAAATATCTCTATTTATAATTAAGCCCAAATGTATATTTATAAACAAACTCATACACACATTTTGTTGGTTTAATGCCAAAACAGAATATCACAAAATTTGAATCCGGTAGGTGGAGGTGTTGTCAAGTTATTAATAAATTTAATATTTTTACACTATAAAAAGTCCGGAGTAGGAGTGCAGTAAAGAGCAAAACAACGTGCTGCAATGCCAGTTAGTTTTCAAATATATGTAGCGTAACGTTAAACGATTACATACGTAGAGGTAAGCTTTCGAAATGCACATTTGTATAATGTAAATAAATAGTTTTAATAATAATGATTTCTTATATTTACGCGAACACTACACATTAATTAAAACTACTTTTACGGATTTTATCGCGTTTAATTTTAATTTTAATTAGTTTATTTTTAATTCCCGATGTTTCGGGTGCTTTCCAGCAGCCATGGTCACGGGGCGGGGGACTGAGGTTACTGACGTCCCGATGTCATTGTTAAACCCGGAGTACCTTCAGCCTTTTTAATTATTGTTTATGGTTCGATCTATGCAAATTGAACTGACTATGTCTTGACCCGAAACGTCGGGAATTAAAAATAAAAGAATTAAAATTAAACGCGATAAAATCCGCTAAAGTAGTTTTAATCAATGTGTAGTTTTAATACTAATTAGAACATTAACACAAAAATGGTATAATAATACCTACTAGGAAGTTAATACTAAATACAAAAAATATCTTTTGGATAAGTAAAGTGTAATTACTCATAATCTTTAATAGAGAGTACGAACACTTCAACTAATGATAATTTGTTGTCAGCTTTATTTGGTTTTGATTGCTTCCATCCATTTGCACCGAAAGCATGTTATTCAAACCGCGTTTACCACGGGTTCAAAATTAAGGATATTTAAGAAAAGCACCTATAACGGGCTTCAGAAATGATATAAATTGAAGATACAGAGATATTGGCGACCTTGGAGGCGGCGACGGGGTCGCCGGCGCCGGCCACGTGCCCTGCATCTCAATGCGCCGACACTTATGTCTCCGACTGGCACCGCATCTCACTACACCGTTTCTTTGTTTCCTCTACGCTTCGGGGTATACTATTCATGGTATGGTGTCTACCGACGCAGTCAATACCCCCAAATGCTCATTCCCATTGTTTATTTCATGTAAAGCGAACGTATAAAAAATGTCTACGAATCTTTACATTTAAGCAGCCCTTAAAATAAATGTAGTCATATTAGATATAATTAAATTTTTAATTATAGATATACATTTATAATTAAATTTGTCGTTGAGATTCGAAGTTAATTTAAAATATGTTTTGATTACAAAACCTGTAAGCCAAGCCATGCGCACTTTTGATCGTACAATACCTACCTTACGTCCGCCAAGCAGTGATCTAATTTGATCAGAATTATGTAAACGTGTGTACCTATGAAAAAACTATTTTTTCGTTTTAAACAAAACCAAAGACACAATGCAATAGATAATAGTATCAAAGACAAAGATATGCTCTTTTATTTTAAACCATAACCTGGCAATGTTTCTTAGAAAAAAAAAAAAAGAAATCACTCTGAACTTTCGGCGTTCCACGTGTCGTTTTGATGAAGGTGCTCCGTCTTTTTTTATAGAATTTTATATTTGTGTCTGGACTAAAAACGAAAGTATTATACTTTTTTATATTCCTTGTAATATAGTGAACACATATATATATAATTTGTGGTATAAAAAGTGAAAAGTAAATTGCCAAAAGTGCTTCAAAATCTGGAAGGCCCATTATGGCGGCTGGGTCATAAATGTGTTATTTTTCAAATTCTCATTTATTTTTAGTGTAAAATGTAAGTAAAAATAGTTTTCTTACATATTTCAAATAACTTGACGTTGTATTTATTTCAAATTCACACAAAACTATTTTAGAAATATTGTTCTAAATGTCACACAGATAAAATATTATTATTATTTTTTTTTTAATTTCTTTATATTTTAATATTTTGGTATGAGTAACGAATGGAAACACATAAAACATAAAAATATACATATTTCCAAACATTTTCATATAAATTTCTCTAAAAACCAAAGTGTAGAATTCAAATTAGTAGTAATTTTGTCACTAAAATTGAAGCATATAACCACTATACAGCTATACAGGGTAATTTACGTATTTTATTACAATTTCTAGCAACCAAAAATAATTTTATTCGATAGTT